GGAGGAAGACCCCAGAGAGGACATGAGTAGGAGGAGGAAGACCCCAGAGAGGACAGGAGGAGGAGGCGGAAGATCCAAGAGAGGACAGGAGGAGGAGGAGGAAGACCCCAGAGAGGACAGGAGGAGGAGGAGGAAGATCCCAGAGAGGACAGGAGGAGGAGAAGGAGGAAGATCCCAGAGAGGACAGGAGGAGGAGGATGAAGGTCCCAGAGAGGACAGGAGGAGGAAGAGGAAGATCCCAGAGAGGACAGGAGTTGGAGGAGGAAGATCCCAGAGAGGACAGGAGGAGGAGGAAGACCCCAGACCCCAGCCTGTGGCGGAGAGGGGGTGTGCAGGTACAGTGGCAGGAGCCTGGTTGGCCCTGACACCTTCCTTGCCGTCACCGAGCCCTGTGTCGGGGTGCAAGGCACAGGAGAGATTTTGGTGAGTGTCTCATTCCCTGGACTGGTCACATCAAGATGGGGGGTGCGGCCTATAACATTCCCCACAGAGACAAGACTGGGTCAGGGGATAACCTCTGTGTTAGGAGCTGGGGTTGGGGGTGCTGGGGAAACAGCGAGCAACTGGGGGAGGGAAAGGAATAAGTTAGGATTGAGACTCGGGCCTTACCACATTCAGGAGCATCGATCTGAAAGCTTCCATCGTCCCCGAACTCAGCAACTCCCCCACCCTTGATTTCCCTGGGTTCTCTGCTCAAGCGGACGTCGTCCTGGATGCGTTAATCCCTCACGCCGTTTGACTCTGGATGGAGGACAACAGGAATTACTGATGGGTTTGGCCTACTCCCCAGGCTTCATCAGGCAATCTGGGCCCACCCGCCCACCGGCAGAGTGCCGCACCACCAGGGGTACCCGCCTTTCCCATTAGACGCCAAACTAAGGCTACGCCGGCCTCCCCTCCTCCCAGAGAAATGGTGAAGGAACAGGAGCAGGGGGGTCACACAGGCCCCTCGAGTTCGCTCTGCCGTTAACAGTAGGGGAACGGAGATCATCAAAATCATCTCATGTTCTTTGAAGCTCGTGGGCGTGGTTGGTTCAAATCTCTCCTGGTGGGAAAGAGCCTTATTCCCAGGAACCTTAAACACTCTTGGGGGCAGGCTGTGTACTTTCTTTTAGAATGAGACCAAATCTGTCCCTAGTGCTCCCTAGTTTTGGGTAAATGGTCTGATATTGGCACAGGCTGCTGCACAAGCAAGTTAGCTTTCTGTGATTTATCGAACAGAACATCCCTCTGGTTAATAACAGCTACCAGATTTAAAATGTCTTCTGCAATTTGCAACTTATACACACAGCGGCTACAAGAGCAGGTTGGAGGCTGGGAGCGAGTAACACTCCCCCACCCACTACCCCTGACTGCCCCAAAACCTGTCCCACCATCTACAAGTCAGGAGGGGGAGGGAATACTCCCCACTTGCCCTGGATGGGGGCAGCTCCAACAGCACTGAAGAAGCTCGACACCCATCCAGGGACAGCGCAGCCCCCGCTTGATTGGCACCAGATACACAAACATCCCACTCCCTCCCCCACCACCGACGCTCAGTCGCAGCAGTGTGTACCATCTACAAGATGCACTGCAAAACTCCTTAGACAGCATCTTCTGAACCTGTAACTCTACCATCCAGAAGGACAAGGGGCAGCAGATACATGGGAATACCAGCCCCCTACAAGTTCCCCTCCGCTCCCCATCCCGACTTGGAAATATATTGGCTGTTGCTTCAGTGTCGCTGGGTCAGAATCCTGGAATTCCCCTCCCTCAGGGCACTGTGTGGGTGTCCCTACAGCACACAGACTGCAGCGGTTCAAGAAGGCAACTCACCCCCACCTTCTCCAGGAGCAGTTGAAGATGGGGCAATAAGTGGTGGGCCCAGAAGGCCGAGAGCCTAGTCCCCAAGAACGAGTCACTTAGTGCTGTTTTGTTTCCTGGCCTTTTACCACAATCCCAAATATTATGCGGGAATATTCAAACTCAAATACACCACATCTACTGGCTCTCCCTTATCCAGGCAGCTAGCTACTACTGTGACCCTTTCAGCAGGTTTCTGAAAAGTAAACACACAAATGGGAGGCGATGGCCTAGTGGTATTATCGCTGGACTATTAATCCAGAGACCCAGGTAATGTTCTGGGTTTGAATCCTGCCACAGCAGATGGTGGCATTTGAATTCAATAAATATCTGGAATTAAGGATCTAACGATGACCGTGATTGTTGGGAAAAACCCATCTGGTTCACTAATGTCCTTTAGGGAAGGAAACTGCCATCCTTACCTGGTCTGGCCTACATGTGAGTCCAGACCCACAGCAATGTGGTTGAGTCTTAACTGCCCTCTGGGCAATGAATGCTGCCTGGTCAGCAATGCCCTCAACCCGTGAATGAATTAAAAAAAAAACAAACCCATGGTTTGATTTGTATTATCCAATATTCCAGCACTCCTCATACAACTGACGTCAGACTCATTTTTGAAAGTTTCATGGGATGTGGGCATTTATTTCCCATCCCTAATTGCCCTTGAACTGCCATTTAAGAGGGCAGTTAAGAGTTAACCACATCGCCGTGGGTCTGGAGTCACGTGTAGGCCCAGAGTGGGTAAGGGTAGTGGATTTCCTTCCCTAAAGGCCATTAGTGAACAGTTTAACATTGTCACAAATTTAATTCGAGGTTTGATCCAGTTCAGATTTCGCCACCTGCCCTGGTGGGATTCGAACCCACATCCTTAGAACCTGACCCTAGGGCTCTAGGTTACAAATCGAGGGACAATTCCACCCCCAACTCCCCCCAGCTCTTGTCTGTGGTGGATCGTTCCCTCTCCCTCCCAGAGGGAGTGTTCAGGGAGGAGAGAGGGAGGGAGGAGGTGAAAGGGAAGGTGATGTTGTGTGGCAGCCAGGAATCGCAGGCCCTACTGCCAATCCGGGAGCAGGCCTCAGGCCCTGCCACTGGGCCTGTCCCTGATCCTCCTTCCCCCCACAGCACTGACAACGAAACTCCTAGCACCCCAGGCCTTGGTTATTGGGGCCTGTAAATGCCCCATGTCCCAGGCCTTGGTTTCTGCCCCCTGTGCCAGGCCCTGGTGTTTGCCCCCACTCCAAGCCCCGGCTAATGCCCCCTGCACAAGGCCCTGGTTTTTTGCCGTCTGGACCCTGGTTATTTCTCCCTGAACCTGGCCCAGGTTAATGCCCCCTCACAAGGCCCTGGTTTTTGCTCCCTCCCCTGTACCTTGGTTTTTATCCCCACTCCTGGCCCTGATTATTGCTCCCTTGCCCCACAGCCTGGTTTTTGACCCCTTGTCACAGGCCCTGGTTGCATGGGAAGGTGTTGGGATGTTAGGGGTGACTGAGGAGTCTCACAGAGGGAATTCCCTTGCGGAATGTGGTAAGGGAAGGGGAGGGGAGGGCGTGTTTGCTAGTGGTGGTGGTGTCACATGGGTCTGGCTGACGATTGACCCTGCTGGGGATGGCCTGGAGCTGGGGTGGGGAGGGGAGAAGCGATGGGGAACGGTGGGACCGTCAAAGGGCACCCCACCCCCGACAATCCTATTCCCATGGCAGCCAGGAAGGAATCCGCGGCTGGGGAAGGTGGAGGACAATCCGGAAACGCTGTGGGGGGGATCAAAGGTCGCAGGCCAAGACGCGACGGCGATGAAGGGAGGGAAGGGCAGAATGAAGTGAGCCCACGAGGGAGTGTCGTCAAGGTGCATTTGGGGTCGAGGGAAGGTGGGGAGGGTCCAGTAGTCCCAAATCGAATGGCAGTTTATCCCTGAGAATGGGAGCCCTCCGCCACCTCGGTGCCATCTCAGGGCAGCACGGCCTCCATGTTGTCTTCTTCCCAGAATTCCCCCTCCTGCCTTGAAAAATTTACCCCGAATTCCTCCGTCTTGAGCGGGGAGGCCCAGCTGGAGGGGTGTCTGACAGCCTGAAATCTAGTTTGCTTTCTGTTCGATGGTCCAAAGGGCATCTCGCAGCGAGAAATGCCCCGTACGCGCACACCCAGGGCCTGGGCTCACTCTGATAGGGACAGGGGGCCTCAGGCCTTGTTGACAAATTCCTTATCAGTTCTGCCTGGCTGTGTTTATCAGGGACCCAGCGTGTGCCTTTCTCCCTAATCTCCCACTCATTCTCAACTAATCGATTCATTCAGTCACAGTGTTGCGATAGAGTCAGAAGGCAAACATTGGAGATGACGCCTTTGCTGCTGGCCCCGACCTTATGGAAGATTCCACCAGCGCAACAACAACAACTGGGATTTGTATGGCGCCGGCGCGCGTCCCAAAGGGCCGCAGTTCGGCCTGCCTTTTGACACTGAGCCACACAAAAAAAATAAAGGGGTCATTGAGCGACTGAGCACGAGGGGTCAAAGGAGGCTTCAGTCTACAGAGGGCCTTAAAGAAGGTGAAAGTGGGCCTAGGACAGGAGGTCAAGGTTCAAATCCCTCCTGGCCCTGAGGTAATTGAAAATAATTCCTGGAAGGAGGGTGGGGTTGGTTAGAGTGAGGGAGGCAGTTCTAGTTTCTTGGGGCTAAGGCCAGGCTGCCGAGGAGCGGTCTAATGGGGGCAATTAAAGTCGGAGGGGGACATCTGCGAAGGGAGAGAGAGCGTGGAGTGAATATTTCGGATCCAGTGACCACCCGCCACCGCTTCAGGGTCTTTTTCTTCTGAAATGATTAGAAAGGAGTGGGGAGAGATAGGATCGGAAACTACTTGGAGGGGGCTAGAACGAGGAAGGGGTCACGTTCTACAGAAGAGCTGGCATTCAGTCAATGGGCAGAATGGCCTACTCCTAACCGCCATCCGAAGAAAGGCCGACTGGGTGGCAGGGCTTCTACCTCCGGCCTAGATGACCCAGGTTTAAGACCCTCCTGCTCCAGAGGCACGGCATACCGTAACTTGAATGTTAAAAATCCCTGGCCACAGAGGATCCCTGCGATGTGAGCTGGTCACTGACCTCTCCCTCTGTCTCTGCCTTAGGTTTGGCATCAGGAACAGGGGTGAAGAGAGGGGCACGGGGCGGGGGGTGGGGACGAGGGGCGTGTGAGAAGAGACACCCTTGAGGCTGGGTGTCAACGCAATGTGGGGGCCCGATAAGGGCTCGGACTGCTCCCGGGAGAGCGCGCGGGGACTCGATTTCCTGGCACAGCGTTGGAGAGAAGTTGGGCAGAGCCCCTCAGCTGCTGAATTCTACAGTTTCCTCCAGACGCTCAGACTCGCAGCTCCCAACGCGCATCGGTGGTAAAGCGCGAAGGATGGAGGTTTTACTCAACTTTCCTGCCCCCTGCGGCCCCCACCCACCCACAGCTTGCCCCAAATTCGATACCCAAATACTTTGGGCAATAAGATCTGCCATCCTTTGGGTAAATGGTCTCCCCGCTACCCCACTCCAATCCCCACCACCACTTCCCTAAAGCTACCACCAAACCTGTGCCCAACGTTTGCCCCATCCAGGCCCACCCGAGGGGGTCTATTCCCCTCGACACCAGACTCTCAGGTTCTGAAGCTAAGAAATTTGGCCCACCATCGTCACCATGACCCTCCAGTCCCAGCGACGTCCTCGCAAATCCCCCTCTTCCTTCTCCCCCTTGCCAGAACACTCACAACCTCCCCGCAAGTTGGCGCTGGATCCCCATCGCGGCGCTCCAGCCCCGGTCCGACTGGACCTCAGAGCGGGAGCAGGCCATTCGGCCCATCGTGTCTGTTCCGCCATCCAATGGTATCACGGCCAATCTCATTACCCTCAGCTCCACCTTCCTGCCTC